GTGTGTGTGTGTGTGTATGGATATATGTGTGCGTGTGAGTGTGTCAGAATTTTCCTCGTGATGACAGTAAATTAGTTTCTTTCCTAGTTTTAAATGAGTCCACCTTTAAAGTAACTCATTAGGCTAGAAGTCTCATTATTAATTCCACCAGCAACATAAGGAAGATAAAACTTTGAAGATATTTTTAGTTACCTATGGAATCTATTAATCCTATCTAGGCAGACTAGAATTATAAAACTTCCTGAATTAAAAAACATTCATATGAAAAAATAAATATGAAAAAAGCAATCTGTTGGGTACAGATTCTAAGCTGCCTAATCATGATGATCATGTTCATTTATTCCTTCCTTCTTTCAAATATTTAAGGAAGGATTATTATATGCCCAGCCCTATGCTAGAAACTTTCGATATACTGGTCATCAAAAACATACCTGTTAAAACACCAAGGTCAAGAGTTTGGATCCCTATACTGGCCAGCCACAAAAAACAAAATAAACAAACAAAAATACCTGGTTCCTAGTCTCATGGAGTTTAGTCTAATGGAGGAAACAAACATAAATAAAACTATTGCCAAAAAAAAAAAAAAAAAAAAAAAAAAAAAAAGGATGTGTAACTAAAAACTGGGAGCAGATCTGTGAAGAAAATTCTTCTGCAGGCAATAGAGGCTTTTAAGGTGCACAGCAGCAAGTTCAGATCTGCATTTTAGAAACAATCTTGCAGTTTCATGACATTCCAGAGTACAGAGGCATTTAAGGTAGCAAAACCTAATTGCTACGCAGGAATACAATGTTAACATTCTTCTAATTCTTATGAAAGGTACCAAGGAATTTTCAGTGATTATAAATACAGGGCCACGTTTATTACTGATATCCTCAAAGCACTTTGGTCTTGCCATAGCCCAGAGCCTTGGTTCAACAACTACTAACTCCACACACTGCTTAATGAGTAACTATCAGAGGCTTTTTCTTTTCAGTCTTCTTTCCACAACCCTACCAAGACTTCAGAGCCAAGACCACCAGTGATCATGGTCAGCACAGCTGTCTGCCTATTTCAAAGGAGGCTCTCTGCTCACCTGATAATCCAGCTTCAGCTGCCGAAGCTTCATGGTCTCATCTTCAAAGGCACTGTTTGAAAAAATATACGAAAAGCATGTTAAGAGAACATCCTTTTTGTCAATTTTATTCTTTTATGTATATACTCCTTTGGGCAATTTGGAACCAGTCAATTCTGTTTTAGAGAAAGTGTCAGCTTCTAGATGCTGCCACACTGCCTGCAAGACACTTGCCATCTTAACACCACACATGTTCCATGGGGACTTGTAGAGACAGAAGTGCCCAAATGATGAAAAAAGATGGACAGCACAGACCCTCATGTGTGCAGGGATGTCTTTTTTCTTTTACACCAAGTACTGAGTATTCACTATGTTCTGAACACAGTGCTAAGTATTTTATAAGCATTATTTTATTTATTCCTCGAAACCACCCTAGGAATTAGGTACTTTCATTGTTCCACTTTGAAGAATGGGGAGGCTGGGAGAGTTGTACATAAGGCTAAATAAAGGGTACAAGCAGACACTCATCTTGGTCTCCCTCTAGAGGGTATATTACACCTAAAAATCAAATATACTTTACTTCTTTTTTGGAGCTAGTAATAGCAGAGGGAAAATTAGACTGGGTGTAGAACCTTCCTAGGGCCCACTGATTTCCGTAAGATCCAGGCAAGTCATTTAACTTATCCTTCAAGTCTGCCATTAATAATGCTTACTCTGCCAGTTATCGACAGAGACCACAGGTATGGATAAACAGATAGGATTTCATACCACTGGGAGATAGATTTGCTTGACGGAAGAAAAAACAACAAAATTTGAATTAAATTACTGTTGTCAGATGATAAACCAAACCCTTTTAAACATTTTTTAACTCTCTCTGAAGCCTTTTCTGTTTTTGACAATTTCCTAATTTAAGATTTCATTTTGTGACTGAGCATTCTTGGAAAGAGTAAAGTATGAAACAAGGCAGAAATGGTTCTTAATTATTTGGATTATAAATTTTTACTGGGAGTTTACTGCCAGAAAAACTGGAATTACAAGGCCTTATTTGAGAAGACAGATTCCTTGACTACAAAGGGAAACATGGCTTTTGCTACATTTGGGGCAAATACACCAAAGCATCTACCCATGGTTTAAAGGTTTACCACTAAATTCCTACATTTTAGAATGTGTTATGCTTTTTAGCAATGCATAGCAACTTGAAATTTGCAGACCATCTCCAAAACTCTTCCTGCCTGATAACCTGTAAGCAGGTTTAACAACCTTCAGATATAGATATTATATATATATATGTTATATAGAGGTGGTTTCTGATTCTCTGACAGTCCCCTCTATTAATTCTCTCATAACATTTACATTTAAAAAGTAAAACAAAAACATTGGGTAGTCAATAAACCATCTCCCTTCTCCCAGCTCAAAAGAGGGACAAGCAAACAAAAAAGGCAGATGTGACACACTCAACTCCGTGGCCCCTGAGTTTCTCATTGATATGGTCCTATAGTTTCCTTAATGTTTTTATCCTT